TCGGGGCTAAACAACTCACCATACTTGGTCATGTCGTCTCGAAAGCCGGAATTCTTCCCGACCCTGACAAGCTTCGTGCTGTTGCCGAATTTCCTAAGCCGACTACTGTTAAAGAACTACGGAGCTTTGTGGGCCTGTGCTCCTATTTTCGTCGTTTTGTCCGGAACTTTGCCTCCTTCATCGCTCCACTCACCAAACTCCTTGCTGGCCCTGCAGATCTTTCGAATTGGACAGAAGCCTGTGACGAATCCTTCACAACACTGCGCCAACTCCTTACCTCACCACCCGTACTGCGTCATTACGACCCTACTGCGCCGACCGAAGTACACACGGATGCAAGTGGCGTCGGCCTTGGTGCAGTACTCGAGCAACGCAAACCAGGTTTTACGGAGTATGTGGTCGCCTATGCCAGCCGCGCCCTCACTAAGGCAGAAGCCAACTATTCTGTTACTGAAAAAGAGTGCCTGGCGATTGTGTGGGCGTTAAACAAGTTTCGCCCCTATTTGTACGGCCAAACTTTTGATGTGGTAACAGACCATCACGCAACCTGTTCGTTGGCTTCACTGAAAGATCCTTCTGGTCGCCTCGGACGTTGGGCACTACGCCTCCAGGAATTTGACATACGCGTCGTCTACCAATCGGGGCGAAAGCACTCTGACGCAGATGCGCTTTCACGATCCCCCGTGAAATCTGATGAATCAGAAATATCAGCTTTTGACCTTCCCCTCTACTCCGTCAGCGTCACAGACATGCCATCCGAACAGCGGAAAGACCCTTGGATTGTCTCGCTCTTGAATATGCTTTCTGACACATCAACTTCCGGTTACCCTCGTGCTCTTCGTCGCCAAGCAACGAATTTCGCCATACGAGATGGCCTGTTATACCGTCGCAACTATCAAGTGGTGGGTCGTAAGTGGCTGCTAGTCATACCCAGCCATATGCGCTCTGATATCTGCGAATATTTTCATGCTGAGCCTGAACACGCACACGCCGGTGCGCTAAAGACGTATGAACGGATCCGCCAACGTTACTACTGGCGGGGTATGCACACGTTTGTACGCAAACACATTCGCTCATGTTCCCTGTGTCAGCAGCGCAAGACATTCCCTCATTCACCCGGTCAACTGCAGCCTTTACCATGTCCTGCACGCCCATTTGACCGTGTTGCGATTGACCTATACTACCCGCTACCGTGCTCTGTTGGTGGTAATCGATGGGTGATTGTGGCTGCCGACCATCTGACAAGGTACGCCGAAACGGCAGCGCTACCTTCGGCTGGTGCTCGTGACGTTGCAACCTTCATCTTGCATCGGTTTGTTCTTCGTCATGGTGCACCACGGGAGCTCCTGAGTGACAGGGGCCGTGTATTCTTGTTCGAAGTTCTGCAGCAGCTCTTACATTCATGCCGCACGGTACACCGCACATCAACAGCCTACCACCCTCAGACGAACAGCCTAACGGAACGTTTCAATAGAACTCTCGGAGACATGCTCGCTATGTATATTGATTCGGACCACTCCAATTGGGACGTTGTCCTTCCTTTCGTGACGTATGCCTACAATACGGCGATTCATTCAACAACGGGCTTTTCTCCATTTTTTATTTTATATGGTCGTGACCCATGCAGCACACTGGACACAATTCTGCCATACAATCCTGATGCCTCCGAGTTCAGCCCAGTTTCTGAAATGGCAGAACATGCCGAAGAGTGTCGTCAGCTTGCACTGTCCTTCACAGCCGATCATCAAGCCCTCCAAAAAGATCGCCACGACCGTGATCTTGTTCAGGACACATTCCCTGTCGGTTCTCTCGTGTGGCTCCGACTGCCTTTCCACTCTCCTGAACTGACTCCCAAGTTTGCACCGAAGTATACGGGCCCTTACCGCGTCATACAGCAGCCTTCTTCTGTCACCTATGTCAATGAACCGCTCAAGCCATCCACGGACAAGCGCCGCCTTGGTCGTGAGACGGTCCACGTCAGTCGCCTCAAGCCCTGCTACGACCCTCCTGTTCTCTCGTCACCTTGAGTCGCCAGGATGGCTCGTCTTGGTCGTCGGGGTATTGTAGTGGGGAATTCGCAAGGCACTGACTAGTGGGACCATCTCTCCTCGGAGTGCGAAGCGCGAGTGTGTGCACGAGCTGTAGACGCTGGACGGCTCGAACATTTCTGTCCGTACCGGCTGCCTGCCTACTACCTGGCGTCGCTATTAAACTCCCTTGCAAAGTGAAGGCTGTCATTTCCCCACATCCCTACCTTGAACGCGCAGTAACCCTCTCCAGAGCTGTACGCGATACCTACACGGTAACCCAATTTCCATAAAATGATCGCCCGCAACACAACAAAAGCAGACTCCTGGCTTGCGCTCGCGCGATCCTCTACCGCATCGCTGCGAATCAAAACTCTTCTGTTTTCGTTGATGCGGCGCAACACAATAACTCCTCCCGCTTTGCACTCGCTGCAGTAGATGGTGACGGAGCCCTACGCTCAGCCGCCTCGGTTAGACTAGCAAGCAGAGCCATAGGTGAGCAGGTTGCTATAGCTTTCACGATGGTCGACCTTTCACACACCCATGTTTTCACAGACACTTTGCACCGCCATTCAGGCTTACAAAAGTGGCAAACTCGCTCGAGAAGCAGCCTAAATTCTACGAGCACAAAAATGCATGGGCTTGCACTGCCTGTCTTGGTTTCCTGGCCACATGGGAAAAGACGTTCACCCACAGCAACTCAACCTCAATTAAAAGGCCGGAGAAAAAAGATATGGAGGATTCTACGTCTTGGCTGGCTTTCTTCTTTTACCGGAACGATCCAGTTTTAGTTACCGGGAGCACAAAGGCCACTGCCATTGCTGCACAGTCCCCGTTTGTGAAAAGAGCGAGATTTTCAGACAGTCAAGTAACAACTGAGTTGCTTATTCGCGTTCATCTGTACCTGAGAGTACGTTTCGTGCATCATTTGTGCATAAAAAACGTGGGGCACGTTTCCATCTGCTGGCCATTCTGCACGTGACCTTCAAATTTGTTGCGATCACATTCATTCCTTCACCTTTGCGGCAAAGCTGTGACAGTTTTTTATTTGGATATCTTCTCTTTGTGGTTTACGTATGTCGCTTTTGTCTCTGTCTATTCATACTAATTGAATTTCCTGTCTAGCTGTGTCGCTTTCTTTCTAGATCTGTTTAGCTTTCTCTCTCCGTCGTCTTTTTTTTACATCTGTATATCCCTGCAGTTCTTGCTTTTTGTTTTTTATGTCTTTATTTCGCTCTATTTCTTTGATTTCCTCTTTATTGCACCTTTTTATCTTCACCTTCTGAACTTTCTAATTCACTCTTCTACTCTCTACGCCATGATTTACTTTCTCCCTTACTAGTTTTTCTTCTCCTCACCTTCACACTTGTCCTCATCACATCCCATAATTGCAGTATTGTTATATATTACTGTACGATACTGAGCTATCATATGCTAGCGTTTCTAGATAGCCGATTCGTTCGGATGCTCGTCTTCGTTCCAAAAGCGTTCTAACGTAGAATAATTGACAGCGTGGCGGGTTAGATACCGATCATCCAAACGAACCTCTCTCATTGTCGATGGACAAACGGACGGTTCGGCCCCCTCATATATATTCACTCTGTGGATATGCTGTGATTTTTTTTCTGTTCCCGTCTGAAGCTCCAATTGCAACTTGAAAGTGTCTTCCACAAAATTTCGATGCCGAATTTTTCGTCTTACATTTTACTGATACTGAGTAAGGTGCCGTCTGCTATGTGTTTTTACATAAAGAGCATGAAAACATCAAATCATTTTTTTCTTACTTGCCATGGTTTGACCTGCGTCGAATAAACCGTTTCGAAATTTCATTTGAGAAGTTAGGAATTGCTCAGTTATGAAAATATTTTTTCCCTTGGGGCTTCTTCTCTGAGCCACATCAACAGGAGCATTTGCGCTGCTACCTGCGGATTTCTCTACAACATAATTGTAAGAATAGGTCCAATGAAAACGTTTTTTTACTTTTTCACAGTACTTTGATGGTAATCTATACTAGAGTTTCCTACCTATATAACCCTTAGACGACCGAATAATTCATTTTTCTTCCTTTAAATACAAAATATTTCTTACACTAACCACCAGTTTAAATGACCAATCTCCCGTGGAGCGTACAAGCTTCTTGTATTGGGTGAATCAAAGAAGCAAACTCTGTGCCAAATTCGTTTCTTTGTAACCTGTTGAATTTGACGGGTACCCACTCCGAGGGATTGGGTGACGAAACGTTTTGTCCTAGACCTGACCCCAGGTGAATAACCTACCGGACAATTTATGAAGCTTTTCCGTCCATTCATATGAACGAAAAACTACACTATTGTTTCCTAGCTTATGGCTAAAACTGTAAAAATAAATAGGAAGAAAAATACAATAGTAAAGAGTAGGAAAGTGAGAAAAAATTAGGTAAAAGAAAATGAGTGGCAATACCACAATAAATGTCTGAGATTTGAGCTAACCAGACAGATGACTTTGCCTCACCCAATCACATTTGACTGTATGTGCTGCATTTATTCACCTTAAAAATACATCACTAGTTTTTTTTCGAGTATATAATAAAGTAGATATTATGTTGAAATAGCTTTAGTTGCTTAAGATTGCATACTGGATCAAATACGTTTCTGTGGCAGTATCCTAAAATGGAGGCACGGACACTTAGAACATTTTTGCGGTTCACGTTAAGCCTACTGTCGAAAACAGAATAGCCAAAAGCGCACAGAACTACCGTTACATTTTCGCTTTCGTCGAGGCCACACAAGAAAAATCATCACAACCACTATATATAGCCATCATCGTCAATGGTTCACTCTAAAAAAGAAGGTTTGCTAATTGCATGCAGTGATTAGTCTTAACGAAAATGCAATGTTTATGTAATTGTGTTTTAGCTATAAATCTTAAATTGTCTTCGTTTGAACGAAAGTACGTTTCGGGAAAATAAGTGGACTTTTCTTTTTTTTACTTTAGTGAAAAACTTTTGCGACAAGAATGAGGGCCAGAAATGCAGCGGTAAAACAAAATGGTGCTTTAATGAAACAGCAGGCTTCACTGAAATGTGTGGTAAGTACATTTTAATATTAGGCATGGCTACGTTGATGTGCCTTCATAAATGTGACTTCTGGACTGATTTAAATTGTTCTTTACAGCACCACTGCGGTTAACATCATAATAACGCTTCGATGATGATTGCATGAATCAATAACATTGGTTGAAAAATGGATAGTTTTGATTTGATGAGGAACTTCATAATTTACGCACACATCACCCGGTAGCCCGATAGTGTACTTGGATTTCTTAGAGTGCATATTTATTGAGGAAAAGATACTGAGTACAGTGGGAACAATTTCCTCACCTTTCTTTCCGAAAGTTTAAGACTGCCGTAAGAGCAAAAACTTTCGTAAACTGCAGGTGCAATAAAGAGTAAGGTAACTTTTTTGAAAACTTTTATACCGAAAGAAAGTATTTAAAAAGTGTCTGAACTTCCAACAATGTTTAAATGTTACTGTTTTGCTCTTTATTTCTTTCAAAGCCCGCACAGGTAGCGTTTCCAAACTCGATGAGCTGTCAGAAATTGATGTGTTCTATAGATTCCGTCAAATTGTGGTAGCATACGTGAATATTACCATTACAACAGAAAGCATTGAATTTCGGCGAACGACAACCTTGTTCCAAAGTTGACTATATAAAAAGCTCCGTCTTCGGTTTTTCTTAAAATCCTTAAAACCAAGGGAAGCAATGAATATTTAATACAAAGGTAACATGTGGTATCATTTTGTTTGCAGCTACAATATTCAGGGTGCAAGTCAGAGTATGTCCAGAATACGCTTATGTGATAACGAGTTGAAAAACCACTATGAAAAAGCGGGAATCAGTGTCCGAGGCATTTGAACGTGGCAGAAGGTAGTTTGGCACTGTGACGAGTACTTATCTATGAAGTTGCACTGATGCAGGAGATCGCAGAGTCTTAATGGAAGAAATGCAGTTCCAAGTGACACAGTGTAAGACTGTCTGCTTAGTTATCAGATAAACTAATTCTTGAAAATATGATAACACAAGCGTTGGGTTTCGGAAGGTAAAAGATAAGTGGTTGGAGGGCACCCATTTTTTAGGTAAATGATGCTTGATAGAAAAAGAGATGCACGCAATAAGGCTGCATCTTTTTCATATTACTCTACCAGTGCGCGAGACTAACAAAAGATGACCATTATTTGTGTCGTCAGATATGCGTAGCTAAACGCGGTAAGAACGTGCGCCAAGAATATATGAGAACAGTTTAGTCGTTAATATACTGACGAAAGGTTTCTATTCTGCATTAGCACATAGCAGCTTGACATCCTTGAGCATCGCGGCCATCTGAGTCACCTTATGAGATCTCGACTTCATCACACCAGTTCTTGTCGCTTTCAGATCTGGTGCGGTACCAGGCCACCAACACCATCAGGAATATTCTTGGCATGACTTGAGGCCGAAAAATTGACTTCCCTGATATGTTATTTTTCCGACGCAATTTCTGCAACTAATATCAACTGTTCTAGATCCTGAGTAGAGTGCTCGCGCCGTCAAGAACATAGCTAACATGCGTGTCGTGCTGAAGTGGTTCATGCATGCTGTCTTGGGTTATATTAGTTCAACACAAGCACGCGGAGCATCGTGGCATGACAAAATTATGAGTACAATGCTTTCTCGGGATAACTAACATAAATATAGACACATGCTCATTGTGCCAATGATGCGGCGCTACCTCGATTGGTAAATTAGTGCCCAATATTCGGCAAAACATAAAAAAACAGGAATACATTTGGTGTTAATATTTTTTCTCGAGTACTGATTATTCATAAACTTGCCTCACGTAATCATGGATGATAGCTTTACCAAATCGCACATTGAGCTCTCACTTAGAAAAACTCTCTCGCACTCTTTTTTTGTGAGTTCTCCATTTTCCAACACTGCTCACCTTACCTCAATGGCCACAGGCATTAACAAACAGCATATTTTTCACAATAGTCACCATCACCTAAATATGTTGAATTGTAGGCGAGCTGCAATGACACAATTTTGTCATGAAGTCCGCAGTGTAGACACAATCAGCGAGGGCTTGTGCGAAAACACCTTCCGTGGCATTAGTGCAGTACACACAAAGACACGCTTTTTGCGGTGTGGCAATGCCCGCTTGGGCCACAGTGAACAAAGCTATCGAGGCCATGTTAGCATTATCTTTTTGAAGGAGACCTTAAGCCTTTGTACCTGAACGCGTGATAAATATTTTGGAAGCATACTCTGTTTCTGTTAACAAAAGAAGCTTCTACATGATTTTATTGCTGGGACTCTGTCAAGAGCACTCAGACTAGCCTTTGGTAACGCAGAAAAAGCTTCCCGGACATCCGCTGGGCTCAGCAGTGTCGTTTTGATAAGATTTGGTAATGACCTTATCCACTGTTTTTTTTTCGCGCTAGCGTCGGAATCGGTCTATATTACAGAGCGAAACTCACGGCAAAAAGATTTACATTCTTCGGCGCTCGATTTGCCTAGGCAACAGGGTCCACGAGCCCATTCGCTATTGGTAAAAAGAATACGTTTCTTAGGATTGTTTTGAAGCTTTTTAAATCATTCGATGGACACGCTGTATTTGGAATCTCAATGTTCGAAGTGATGGTCACACACCATACGGCGAGTATTCACACTCACCGTGAAAATATTTTTGATGTGATTTTTCTTCTGAACGGACGTTGATGTTTTGCGCATATAGCTTATACACGGGCATTTCTGAGAATGTTTAGGTGTGTGTATATATTGTTTTCGGCTTCTGACTGAATTTTTTGCCACAGACAGCTCAGTTGTATGAGCTGAGCAGGTGTCAGAAAAATACTTCTGAGTCGTCTTAAGCAGATCTGGTTGAGTTTGTCAGTCGTCATGTGCATGTCGGGCAGCTATAGCCGCACATGAATTACTACCCACATAAAGATGGACTAACAGCATCTCTGTTATGTCTCTTTTGCAAGGAATCAGAATCAATAGATCATTTCTTTTTATCCTGCCAACGATATTCTTATCGAACGAAAAGATACTTGGTCGAACCAATTGAGAAGCTAGGTTTAAAAATAAACGTGGAAGTATTTTTATCCTTCGGGGGGATTACATTAGGGAACCGCAGGGAGGTTTACTCTCCGTGAGTGCGTACATTAATGGCAACAAAAAGATTACCTTGTTAGTCTATTGGTAATATTATTTACGGCTACGAGACTACCGGAATGCTTGACTTAGCACACTTGATGATCCTGCCGCCCGGTTTTTGGCCAATCCCCCTTTGTGGGCGAGTACCAGCAAAGCTGATGGCTCATCAGTGCTGAAACCATTTTACGTTTGTGAGTTTGACGTTCCTCATTCCTGAATTCTCTGATAGGACTGTCAACATTTCCCTACAGCGCATGATACGTGAAATTAGCACTGCAAGATACTGATACGTGAACTATTTTTTGTTTATTTTCATTTATTTACAGAGACTACAATCCCCAGAGGGTTATAAGTAGGGTGGAAACACTTCGTCATTGAAACGAAAAGTTTGGCAGGAAAGAAAGAAGGGCAGCAAAAAAGGCTTCAAAAATACATTACAAATATATCGGTTATAAGTAAAAATCTAATTTTCGTGCTTATGCGCATACAAATACAGAGCTCTTACGAAACATGAGCTACATAAAAGTGGCAAGAAAGTTATACGAAATTGAATGAAATCATGTTGCAGATCGAAAGTCCTTCACATTTTAGGTTCTTCAGTTTCTATACGAGCTCACACAAAACGGAGTGACCATGCATCCGTTGTGAGAATGCAAGAGCCGTAAAGTACAACGTTCAAGTGAATTCCGCGACCTACCGAGGAATCTTTTGATGAAACTACAGATACCTTATTATTGTCTCTGCCTTTAAAACTACATGATCTGAAGCACAAGCTCCGAGATGTCGTGCACTAGTTATTCTGTTAAGCAAACGACTGACGTCTAGCTCTAGAGCGTGTTCGTCAGCCTAAAACGGCAGCAGCAAACTGCCGAATAATGACCATACGTTATGCTTTGTTTTTTAACCGCTTCTTGCTATAGGTCACTGAACCTTAGTGTTGAAAATGCACGGCTGTCATAATACGTTTATCCAAAATTAGTCAGTTGTAGGGGCGTGCAGTAAAAATGGTGGTCTTAGGGCTCAGTATAATAAAAAAAATAAGAAATTGTATTGTAGAGCATTGTGCCTAAATTAGTTACTCTCATTTACCGAAATTGTTCTTACCGAAATTGTTCTTCTGCAAATGTGACCACGTTTGCATGCGTCACATGCTGATGCTCGCTTTTTACTACCAAATTGAGACTTACAATCAACTTGGCGAAAAAAATTATCAAGCTAAACAAAATAAAAGTATTACGAGTCATGAGGGCAGATAGAATAAGTATAGTCAGTTCTAGTGCAATATTTACATATTTATACACACAAATACGCATGTTTTATTTTGTTTGATCGGAAACAATTAGGACTCGGAAACAATTAGGACGTGTCAACTCGAAATAGATATTTTCGTATTTTAGTTCGAAATTCGCTTAAGAAACGCAGATATGTGTTTACAGAGTTGAGCTGGAAGATTGGCACGTGCGAAGCTGCAAGCAGTGCACGCATGTAATGCTACAAAAATTGTCCTGATATTCATGATAACCTTAGCTATACATTGTTTGCAACCCAACGCAGGTGAGTCAGGTTGCGATGCCTCAAAAAGTCACTGGAAAGTTTGCAAAACACCTGGTACCGAGATGTCCTGCGAGAAGACCTCAGACAGTGATGCATGCCACTGCACCTGCGGTGAGTGCATGCATATATCTCCTATGTATTGGGAACTCACTTTAATGGTTTCATCGTGGTGTCGACGTAAAAATGTCGAACCCTTTTCCCGTTCAACAGACTCAGATGTCACTCCGTCAATGTTCTCTGCCTGTTTTTTTGTTTTGTGAATGTGGGCCTCTAGAATTTACTATCAAAATCTTGTTTGTCGAAGAAGCCATTCATGTTACTTTTGATTATATAAATGGTGGCAGCATAACTCTTAACTCACATTCAAACTGATGACAGGGAAAGTGTACTGCGTTAAATGTTCTATTGTGAAGCCTGTATACAGGACGCGTGTGTGTAAAGCACCAAAGTTTCACTACATTTTCCAGCAGATGAGGGTAATAATTGCTAAGTCTTTCTTTGCTTACTGCGCGCGCTTTCATATCTATCTATCTATCTATCTATCTATCTATCTATCTATCTATCTATCTATCTATCTATCTATCTATCTATCTATCTATCTATCTATCTATCTATCTATCTATCTATCTATCTATCTATCTATCTATCTATCTATCTATCTATCTATCTATCTATCTATCTATCTATCTATCTATCTATCTATCTATCTATCTCAGATGTAGGAGGAAATGTTGTAGGCCCATGTATTCAGATTTGGGTGCATGTTAAAGAACCCCAGGTCGTCAAAATTTCTGGAGCCCTCCATTACGGCATCTCTCATAGTATTATGGTGGTTTTGGGACGTTAAACTCCTCAAATCAATCAATCATCTATCTATCTATCCATCTATGTATCTAACCATCAAACTATTCATCTATCTATCTATCTATCTATCTATCTATCTATCTATATCTATCTATCTATCTATCTATCTATCTATCTATCTATATCTATCTATCTATCTATCTATCTATCTATCTATCTATCTATCTATCTATCTATCTATCTATCTATCTATCTATCTATCTATCTATCTATCTATCTATCTATCTATCTATCTATCTATCTATCTATCTAGCTAGCTATCTATCTTGTTGTATCCAGCCATTTATCCATCCATCGAGCCGCATACGCCACGGTGCTCTAACGATCACCATCGATCACCGTGTTAACTAAATAAACAGTGGCACGTACCCGGGGCCGGGAATGTGCTACTGGTATGTGAGTATGTGCCACAGGTGTGTGACAGTGTATATCTACCAATGAACAGCGAAAATGAATGGAATGGAATGAAAAAAACTTTATTTCAGTCCTGCAAGACGCGCTTAGCGCGTAGCGGGCGTCTCCCACGTAGGGAACGACAGGGAGTAAGTACCTGGCGGCCACTTCGTGTGCCTGATGGACGGCCCATTGCTGGTCGGCGAGAAGTGAGCTCATGAGGGACCTCTCCCACTTGCTTGAGGTAGAGTCGGGAGGAGTTGTTCTACACTCCCAGAGCATGTGTGCGAGTGTCGCTGTGTGTCCACATGATGGGCATGTGTCGCTGGGGTATGCATCGGGATAATAAACGTGAAGCGTGGCAAGGTTTGCGTACGTGTGTGTCTGTAATAGGCGTAGGGTTAATGTCTGCGGTCGGTTAAGTTTCGGATGTGGGGGTGGAAAAATGCGACGTTCCAGGTAAAGTGCTTTGTAATTTCATTGTACGTAATTGATGCATCCCGATTGGTATTTAACCCAGCAATTGAGGTTGCCCGGTGGCAGTGCGGTCGGTAAGTGCGCGCGCTGCATGATGGGCGATCTCGTTGAGGTTGGATAGGGCACCCTGCACCTGGCCGAAATGGGCGGGGAACCAGATGACAGTGTGGTGCTTCAGGGCACTCGGGTCCGCATTGCGCAGGATACGTAACGCCTGGTCGGAGATGACTCCGCGTTTGAAGGCTTTGATGGCCAGCCTGGAGTTGCTGTAGATGAATTCCCGTTTGCTGTCGAGCATAGCTATAGCTATAGCTACTTGCTCCGCTACTTCGCGGTTTCGAATGAGGATTGTGGCATAGTTAAGAGTCTGCTGCGCGGATGATACCGCGACCATGGCGAAGGCTCGGTTGTTGCGATAGGCAGCGGCGTCCACGTGCGAGACGTTGTCCGCTTCCATGTCTATGCGCTTGGCATGGCGGTCACCCGCGCAAGGCGCCTGCATCTGTTGTATTCGGGGTGTACATTTCGTGGAATGGGAGCGATCGCGATAAGGTCGCGGATTTCACGGGCAATTAGAGTCAACTCGGGGGGGGGGGGTCTCTGGCCCTCGAGGAGAAGAAGCCGAGCTCGCGCAGAATATGGCGGCCTGCCTTGGTGGTAGTGAGTCGGGTCAATTGCACGCGTTCCTGAGCTTCGGCGATCTCTTCTAGCGTGTTATGTACGCCAATCTCGAGGAGTTTGTACGTTGGAGTGGTTATAGGGAGGCCAAAGGCTCGTTTTACCACCTTGCGAATAAGCGCATTGAGTTGATCACGCTCAGCACGTAGCCATTTGTGCATAGCGGCAACGTAGGTAAAATGACACAAAACAAACGCGTGTACGAGACGCAGCAGGTTGTCTTCCTTGAGGCCATGGTGCCTGTTGGCTACTCTACGTACGAGTCGTATGGCATTCTCAGTCTTAGTCCTGAGCTTGTGTACTGTTCGGGTGTTGGTTCCGCGGGACTCGATGATCATGCCGAGGACCTTGATGGTGTCTACCCTGGGTACAGTACGACCATTTCTAGTAAGAAGGGTGATATTGCGATCCGCCGGAAGTTTCCACCCTTTGGGCTTGGCACCCCGGCGTTTGGGCAAATATATCAGCAGCTCTGACGTCGCGGGTGAGCACCTGAGACCGGTGTGGTCGAGGTAAGACTCGGCGGCGTCAATAACCTCTTGCAGGGCGGGCTCAATGAAGCCATCCGATCCTGTGGAGCACCATATAGTTACATCATCCGCATAGGTAGTGTGATTTAGCCCGTTGATTTTGGAAAGTCGTTCGGTAAGCCCGATCATCACGAGGTTGAAGAGCGTGGGTGAGAGGACGGATCCCTAAGGAGTGCCCTGCTGTCCGAGCTCCACTTTTTCTGACACTAGGTCTCCTACGCAGAGGACGGCTCGGCGTCGAGTGAGAGAAGAGCGGATAAAGTAGTAAAATTAATGTCCTAGGCCGAGGGCTGCGATCGCTTTCAAGATTGACGAGTGCGTTATTGTATCGAAGGCTTTTTCTAAATCGAGACCTGAGTATTGCACGAGTGTCCCGAGTGTTTCCGCCATCTATAATTTGATACTTTAGGAGTAACATGGCATCTTGAGTGGGTAGCCCTGGTCGGAAGCCAATCATGTGGTGCGGGATGCAGTCGTTATCTTTGAGGTATCGACCATCCCTGTTGAGGACGGCGTGCTCAGCCACTTTGCCCACGCACGACGTGAGAGATATGGGGCGTAGGTTATCTAGACTCGGCGCCTTTCGCGGTTTGGGTATGAGAACCATGTGAGCTAGTTTCCAAGCATCGGGTATCTCACCCTTTTTCCATATTTCGTTGATAGTGTCGGTGAGGTAAGTGACGGAGGGATCGTCCAGGTTGCGTAGGAGCTTGTTGGCGATGCCATCGGGGCCAGGGGCTGAGCGGCCATTAAGCTCATGGAGAGCTCGGCGCACATCTTGACTAGAGAAGTCGGCGTCTAAGTTAGTGTTGTCGCTGCCAGAGTAATCAGGGTGAGGGGTCACAGGGCCCGTGGGAAACGGGAGATATTTTTCCACGAGGTTCTTGATAACATCTTCCGGTGACATTGTCCGTTTAGCCTGATGAAGTATCTTCACGATCGAACGACGTTGATTTGTGCGGGGGTTGGTTTCATTGAGGAGGTGTTTGAGTTGAGTTCCACGTTTTGCCATTTTGACCCTGACCATCGAGAATGAAGCGAGAATGAAGGCAGAAAGAAATAAACGCTTATTTAGAAAGTGTTCCGAGTGAGGCTCGGTGTCACCCTAAGGTAGGAGGGTTCCCTAGTGCAGGAACCCTCTGGCTTCGACTGCCCTCTTAGTCCTGGCGATGAGCTGTCACTGGTTTTTCAGGTCCTCGAGGACGAGCTTGGCCTCCTACGTTTCTATTAGATGGTCTTCGTTTATTCTTGGGGCTTGGTCCCACCCCAGTTGCATGTCGTGATTTGGATGGCACTGGCATTCCAGGAGCAAGTATGCCAGGTTGTCCAATACGCTACAGAGCGGGCACATGTAGCCATTGTGTGGTTATGTAGAGGTGGTGTATTCATGTGCCATGTATGTAAGTGTTGCTTTGCAGGCATCTGAAGATCGTCAAGAAAAAGCGGGCATCGCCAGCGTTGACCGGACGAATGCACATAACGAATGTCATTGTCCCAGCAGGAATCGAACCCTTCCGATTTGCGTGGCAATATGTATTCTACCCTAGAGCTACTCCAGGCCTCGGAACTACCTTTGAAGTAGGCCTCATTGTTTGTGAATCGCCAATAGTGCTTGCAGTGCTGGCTTTCCAATTTCATAAGCTTTACGTATGCATTCATGCGATATAGCCGTCACGTCGTGCTAACATCGATTGTAGCCAGGTGCTATATACGTTTATTTATGTAGCAGTGCCTAAGGCTATGATCCTCGCGAGGCGCAGTCCTTCATATCAGCTAACCACATGTGGTGTTGCTAATATCCTTGTTGCTGTTCACATCGTTATGCACTTGTAAACAACTGGTGATAGAAAACATATGCAGCTATTTAACGTAAGAGTGTGCGTGAACTTATACGAATATTTAGTGGAAATTCGTAACGTTTTGCTCAATAAAAAAGTACAACCCAGCTTGGATGCGCATCCTTCGCATAACAGTGCTTCACAAGGCACGTGGGATCTGCTCAATTTTCGCAGTAGTGAATCTGTCTTGTTTTATCAGTATCTCCAACTGCCCACTGTACAGCTACGCATTGGGAGTTATAGCTCATAGGGACCGTGGAACACTCTCTTATAGAAGATGCTGCAAATAGACAACCATTTTTAACGCACTACCCGAAGAGTCATGTATCAGCGTCCCTACGCTATACAAAAACTGTGCGTGAAAACACGCTGACAAGCAATCAAGGGAACACAATCACCGCATTTTAATATTTGTTGGCTATTTCTTGTTTGAGCTCTCGAAGGAAGATTTGTGTGCTAGCTGCATTTGGTTAATAAGGTAATTCATAAATAACTGCTTACCTAAATTTATTGTATAGCCATAAAACACTCATTTTCAGTAAGTACCATTTTTGTCCACTAATCCAGAATTTTCTTTTTTTTCCTTTAGTGGAAAGAGTTTGCAGTAACCAACAAGGAAACAGATGCACCAGCAACAAAATGAAATGGTGTATGATCAGTGACAAAGGACGCTATACTGACTCATGTAGTAAGTGATCTTTAGAATTAGGTGCATCTGTGACGATATGCCACTGTGAATTTGACTTGTTCATTGCTGTGATTTGTTATGCTCGCTACAGCACAGCGGTTAACAAAACTACAAGGCGAGATGGACACACTGTTGAAAAATCAATAATTTATATTTTATTAGGTGTTTCATAGTCTACACACACACCGGCGAACTGGTAATTCGACTTCGTTCGCTCAGTGAATAATTTGCTAGAATTTTTTTGCAACTTCGGTGTATATGCACTAATTTCATCACCTGTCATTCGCGAATGTTCAGAAAACTATTAAAACAACCAAAATTTTGCTTTTACAATTCAGGTATTGAAGAGTGAACGTAAGGACGAGTAAAGTCACTATTTTTGAAATTTGTAGTGAGAAAAAAAATGGTAAATGTGTAGATACGCAACCTTTTATGAAAGCTGCTCTAATGAGCATTCCTTTTCTCCTAAGCAAACACAGATGGCATTCCAAAACTTCACGAGTTGTGAGAAAATAAGGTGCTCTATATTGCTCAAATATTGTTTCTGTATCAAAAGGAGACAATTCATATAATGTCTCAACACTGATTTACTGTTAAACGGAATCAAATTGAAAAAAAAAACATCACACCATCTCCCGCTGAAGGGAAACATGAGTCGATGAAAAGCAGCGGGAGCGAACGCTTACAGTGGTCGCAGCGTTGACACTAACTCTAATCATCGCGTTGCGCAGCAGAAAAACTTGGGGATGTGCAAAGCACAAAGTGATGAACCGGTGTTTTCCACTGGTACATGCCAATCTCTGCTAATGGGCAATCAGAGACAAAAAAATTGTCAGATCCCACGTACAGTGGGAATCGACGATATGCAAAGCACGAATGAGGAAGAGTGATAGGTCACTTTAGAATCAGCACAACATCAAGACGCGGAGGCAAATTATGCCGTACATGGCTTCCATGCCATGATTATCATGTTTGAACGTTTCGTTTACCTTCGTCGTCTATTAACGTAACCTGATACCAAGTTTGGTACATATAGAGCAGGTGAAACGGTCGCGAGCGTGATGTGAGTGTAGCATATAGTCCTGTTTTACATAAAATCTGTATCAAGATTATCATATCTGGACGTGTCATTTACATTCCTCGTCCATTCACGTCACGTAATACCACATTTGGTATATGTGGAATTAGTGAAACGACTGCGAGAACGCTATGAGCGTAGCATGTAGTCATGTTTTGCATGAAACGCATAATATGAATATTAGGTTTGGACTTGTCATTTACCTTCGTCGTCTTTCCACTTCCCGTGATACCAAATTTGGTTCATTAGAAGCGAGATAAACGGCCGCGAGTGCATCATGAGCATGCATGTAGACATTTTGTCACACATGCATGTGATGATTTTGATGTTACGGTCTGTCGCTTGTCTTCGCAATGCAGTCATGTTATACCATATAGTTTTGCAATATACCATCTGAGTAAAACCACCGCATGAGAAGCAAGACAATGACATATAAATCTTGACATTTATGACATATATGTCGTGATTTTTATCTTATGACTATTTAGTTATGTTGGTCATACAGTCACGTTATATCATACCAAGTTTGGTATCGATAACGCTATCCAAACGGCCAGGACAGCTAAAAGTCCTAGGCGGCTAGATAGATAGATAGATAGATAGATAGATAGATAGATAGATAGATAGATAGATAGATAGATAGATAGATTCAATGTCGCCGAAGTTTCTCTAAGAAATGCTTCGCATTAAAAACTCTAATTGCACACAGATACCCACGGTCTGCTTTTAGTTACAGCGCCATCAGCAAACTTCCATTGTTCGACAAAGCACAGGAAAGGTGTCCTACGCGCAATACCTTGGAGGTGAGGATCCAGTGCCTATGTGTACAATTGCCCAGTGGCCGGTTTAGCAGCGCGAGCAATTACTGTTTAAAGAAGTTAGTCATTTAAATGCGAAGCATTTCTTGGTGAACTTCGGCGACTTTGAGCGTATCTATCTATCTATCTATCTATCTATCTATCTATCTATCTATCTATCTATCTATCTATCTATCTATCTATCTATCTATCTATCTATCTATCTATCTATCTATCTATCTATCTATCTATCTATCTATCTATCTATCTATCTATCTATCTATCTATCTATCTATCTATCTATCTATCTATCTATCTATCTATCAAGCCACCTACGACTTTTAGCTCTCCTGGCTGTTCCGTTAGTGGTATCGATACCAAAATTGGTATGACATAACATGATTTTATCACGGACATAAGTTACTAGTCATAACATGAAATAATGACGTGCATGTCATGAATGTCATAAATTACATTTCGTGGTCTTGCTGCTCTTGCGGTGGTTTCGTTTGCGTGACATGCTTCAAAATTGGCGTGGTATGACATGAAAGCATGGCGAACACAAGCGCCAGACCCTTACATAAAAATGATGACATCCGTGTCATTGTAAATAGGACTACATGCCACGAACATAATGCGCTTGCGGCCGTATCCCTAGCTTCACGTATACCAGGCTTGGTATAAGAGGACGTAATGGATGACTAAGGAATGTGACTGGTGCAAACGTGATAATCACGACATGCGTGTAGTTTAAAAACATGACTACATGCCAATCTGAATGCGCCAAGGCAGTTTGACGAGACCCGGCGCGTGTGCGCGCCAGCGTTCGGTCTGTGGCGTCTCACCGCCGATGCCACGCCAGGCTCCAGGCACCGATCTGCCTGCCATACACTCGCAGGTGTGTGCCGCGCTGCGTTGCTTTGACGCATGCGCGTTTGAGCACGCCCGGTGTCCTTTCGTCACAAAGAGAGGCAGACACGGTGCTGTCTCGGTAACGGCTGTTGGTGCGAAATGCAGCATGTCGCACATCGCACTGGTTGCCAGTGGTACAGTGGCTAGAATACAGTGGCTGTACCAGTGGGCCGCGCCGACGGACGCTTGTCGCGCCGGTCGCGCCTTGCGTCAGACTAAGTGCTCGCGTTTCGCTAGCGTAGTGTCGCTGCGCCCTGCGTGTGCGCGCTTCAGCGTTACCTTGAAGTATACTGAGCACTTCATAATGCGTTCGCCACCGTTTGTCTAGCTTCGCATATACCAAATTCGGTACTACAGGGCGTGAATAGACAAAGCCGGTAAATGACCCTTCCAAACATGATAAATATGATACGCGTGTCATGTAAAACATGACTTCATGCTACACTCATAGTGTGCTCGCGACCGTTTCACTAGCTCCGCATATACCATATTTGGTTTTACGTGACGCGAATAAACGACGAAGGTAAATGACACGTCCAAACATGATAATGATGACATGGAAGCCGTGTAGGCATAATTTACCTCCGTGTCGTAATGAAGTGCTGATTTCAAGGTGTTATATGAACCTTCCTAGTCGTGCTTTGCATATCATCGATTCCCACTAAGCGTGGGATCGGCCAATTTTTTTCACAATGAAATGCGATGTTTTCATGCCAGACAAGGTAAATTCAAGCTGTGCGTTCCGGCATCCTGATTATTCAAAAGAAATCGTCGGGCGTCTCATAAAAATTCTCAAGAGTCACCTTTAATATAGTGTGTGCTGAACGCGTCTCTTTTTGCCAGTCCTCTCGGCGAATGAACCCGTCAATAAAACGGCAGCTTGGTACGTACTTTTATTCATGATGCAACATAGCACGCCTTGTACTTTGTGTGAGATTTGGCTCCTTAAATAATCTGGTAGTACAGCGTAAGGTCATGAGTACCTGGAATGCAACCACTTGCTGTGGGGTACGTAAAGCGTCTTCCGCAGCAGCGCTGCATAGAACGCTTGGGTCAATTCAGTGCAGCCATGCCCGATGAGAGGCCGTTCTCACGGCCGTTCTTACATTACGCATTGAACTTCAAAACAGCAAAGGTGAACGTGCGCATTCAGTGCACCCAGGAACGATGCTGAAAATCTACACAGCGAACGCCACGGCCTGACTTGTACTAAAGTGATTATTTGGATTAGTTGGTACATTATCAACGAAACGAAAAAACTGCGCGTAACACAGGACAGTGAAGACGTGGTCAGCGCTTCGTCCGTATCTTCACTGTCCTGTGTTACGCGCTGTTTTTTCGCTCCGCTGACTTGTACGAGGGTAGCCCTAAACCTGGCAGTCGTGTTTCGTGCAGATCCCAGAGGTTACGTTATTACTAATATCACAATAGTGGGACTAGCATACGTCTTACGGCGGTGGCGCTGATAAGCATTAGGTATCCTTGTATCTCGTCCACCAGCTATCTATTTTAGTGAAATGCATCAAGGTACGTTAAACTGAAACTGTTGTCGTACGCTTTACTTGGCGCGTATGCAACGTAAATTTGACAGCATGAGCAGCTTCTCCATATGCTGAACTCGAGGTGTGTATTAGCTCGCGCCGTTTTTCACTCTTTGCGCCACACTTACCACCCAGGCACTCGAGTTCAGTGTTTTCTCACGCCACGCTATGTCTGGCCCGGTCTTTACGGTTATCTGTGTGGTTGGACGCGCATATGCCTGCCCTGTGAGGTGACAATGTCTGCCGTCATACTACGGTTGCTCCTTTAAATATCTTTCTGTGACCTCGGGGGTATGACAGGGGTCAGTCTTAGGACTCCTTTTGTTTTAGTTATTGATTACCGACATCACTACGACTATCACATGATAATTAAGAATATTTGCGTACGATTTTGAGGTATATAGGGGTATCAATAGCAACTAGGCCAAACAGGCACTGCAAAACGATTTGTATTCGATTGTCACATGGTGTGAAAAATGAGGAATGTCATTGAGTGTGACAAAAATGTCCACGTCGCCTTTACCAAGGAGCCCTCACATGGCTGCGATCGTTACACAGTTACAAATTCCACTGTGCAGGAAGCCATAGAATACAAATATTTAGGTGGAGTTTTTACTGCTCATTGGAGGTGCAAAGACACTGCACTGAACCTAAAAACATACCTATAGATGC